GTATTTCCTGTGAAGTGATGAATATTCTAGAGCTCAGTTCATGATCACTGTTAAGTTCAAGTTTTCCCTAAGATTTTAGTTTTTCTCAGCTGACTTTGTACCTAGCAACAGCCAAATTTATACAGAACTTACTGTATGCACATTAGATACATTCTTTCATTTAATCCTCATTTTACAGATGAGAGGATGGAGGCTCAAAGTGATGTCTTCCTAGGAGGATGAAGAAAGTGAGCCCTACAACACATATCCTACCTTGATTCCCCAAAAAGGTGTGAGATTGAAAATAGCTTTAAAAAAACACCATTATGAAGGTTTTGTTTTTTGGGTTTTGTTGATTTGATTTGGTTTTCTCTTTCATATATTTACATAAGTTCAAGTTTAAAAGACCCTGAACCTACAGCTAGTTCCTGGGCTCTGAACTTAGTTCTTGCCAGTGACTGTATTGACAAGGTCACAACAAGGAGACAGCACTGACTTTATTATTGGATGTTTGCAGCCTCTGCTTTTTAACATTCACTGGCCTGATATACTCAGACAACTGCTTATGCTCCCTGAGCCATAGTCAATGAAGTGTGACACTCATCCCTGCTCTACCTAGATCACCAGGCAGTTAAGAGTCCCAACAGTTATGAATCTCAAAGTGGAAGCTAAAGTGTTTTGCAAACTATGCAGAGCCATAAATGGGATCCTTTAATGTATTTGTGGATTAGCCCATGTTAGGAGATGTGCTAGTGTTAGGAATATACATAAAAATGAATGACAATTGTTAATTCACTCAGCAACTGAATACTGAGGGGGCTCCCATGGGCCCCGTACTGTGCTATGCATTGGGAACACATTTAGGTCTGAGAGAGGCACAGATTCTGTGCTCACAGAACAGCTCATGGAATATGGAGAAAATAGATGCTCTAGGGGCTGGGGTTGTGGCTCAGTGGTAGAACGCTCGCCTCGCATGTGTGAAATCCTGGGTTTGATCCTTTATTTTGTGTCCATGTATAACTAAATAAAGATATTGTGTCCATGTATAACTAAATTTTTTTTTTAAAAAAAAATAGATTCTCTAAATGTGAATGTAAAAAAGTTCCATAGGACCTGTTGTAGAATTAGAGGGTGCTAAGGAGTCAATTAACAGGGAGGGCATCCTAATCTGGTCTAGAAATGCAACCCATATTAATGGTGGTTCTTAGAGTATCTCAGGACTAGATCTTGATAATTTGTACAGGATTTTTAACATTTCTCAGTGCTGCTTTTTTTATGAGTAGAAGACAAGAGATTGCACAAGACTTAAGAATTCCTGCCCTGTCTCCTTTTCACCAGTTCTTCTTTTCATCTATTTCTCTGTCTCCATCAGAATTTGCCTCCTTCAAATTGAACTCCCAAAGAGCAGGGGCTGTGTTGTCCTCCACTTTACTCCCAGGTCTTAGCTGTAGCTGAAACATATCAGGAGCTCAACAAACATGTGTTGCCTATAGGACAGCAAACACATATCCTATCCAGCCTTCCAGCTTGGTGCCCCAGAATAGTGTGATTTCCTAAGTGGTGTTTCTAAGTAGCTCTATGTAGACAGATTTTTTTTTAACTTGTTATGTATTTACTTATTTTTTGACATTCAAAAGGATCACTTTGGTGCACTATCAAAATAATTATATCCACAAACTTCAGTTCAAATAAATGCCACTGTCCTGTCCAGGCATGTGGAAGAAATGAGACCAGAATTAGAAGTTTAGTCAAAACAAATCAGTAGTCACACATATTATGACAGCTGGGATTATCAGACCCTTCTATGGAATTTTTAAATCAAATAATTGTTAGATATTGTAGAATCACTTCTTAGAATAATTTGTGGAATTGAGCCACCTTTAACATCACTTTATGGGCCATTTTTTCAGTTGTAATCATTTTATTTGGACATTTCTTTCTAAACTTCACCATGTGCCAGACATTGTGCATGATGGAAATAAAAGCCCAATGTACACTAGTAGTCCATGGCCAAGGAGAAGAAAGAGAATCTGCCCAAGAACTACAAAGCTGGCTATGAGAGGAAGGTACACAGGAGACCATTTGATTAAAAAGTCTCTCTTGCTACTACATAGTAAGCCCCAGAAAGCCTGGGAGCCAATTTCTCTGTGTTGCTCAAGATCCCAACACTGAACAGTGCCTGGTACATATCAGGAATTTAATGTATTTCTTGTAGAATGAGGATAGTGTTGCTTATAGGAAATCAAAAAGTACTGGGGGTACCAGAGAAGCAGAGGTTAGTCTCAGCTGGGAAAATTCCATAATCAAAGCTAAAAGGGATCATAGAGATTAGTGCTTCCAGCTTAATAATAATAAGAAAACATTCACAGAGAGGGGAAGTGATTTGCCCAGGGTCACACAGTTATGGGCTGAATTCTCCCCCATGCCCCCAAAATTCATACATTGAAAGCCCAAACCCCTGCTACTTCAGAATAGACTATATTTGGAGTTAGGGTCCTTAAAAAAACACACTTTAAAAATGAGGTCATTGGATGGACTTTAATCTAATTTAAGTGGTGTCCTTATAAGAAGAGAAAGTTAGGACTCATATGTGCAAAAGATGAGACCATGTGAAGAAACAGGAGGAAGACAACCAGTTACAAGCCAAGGAGGGAGGCCTCAGAAGAAATCAACCCTGCCAATATTTTGATCTCAGATTTCCTGGCTTCAGAACTACAAGACAATAACTTTCTGTTGTTTAGGCTACCTAGTCTATGGTACTTTGGAAGGTCGCCCTAGGAAACTTATATACACAGAAAGCAATATATAAGTTGGTCTAGAAGCCAGGTCTGCTGAATCCTTGGCCCTTCCCATGACAGCACTCAGCTGGGAGATTTAGTTCTCTCCTCCATACCCATTCCCGAGGAAGGCAATGACAATGAAAAGGAAAATAGCTAACCCATATACAAAGCCTAGAATGAACCAGGTTGTCCTCTACTCTTCATTTATTAGCTCACTTAATTCTCTAGACAGCACTGTTAAGTAAGTTCCGTTATTGTCCCATTCTTACAGATGATGAAATTGAAGACCAAAGAGATTTAGCAACTCTCCTAAGCACACAGAGCTACTAAGGGCTGGAGCTGGGATTCCAGGCATGGCAGGCAGCTTCAGGAATGCGCTCCTATAATCACGCTATTTTATTGGGGTGGGTCTGTAAGGCAGAGGCAGTCTCAAAGATGAGAGTTAATGGGGACACATAAAGGCATCACTGTGTTTATTTTCATATAACATTATTATTCTAATCTGAAATAGCTCATTGGAGGCATAAAAACAAAGGCAGAAGGGAATAAGGAATCTGACTAGGAAGTGGAATATTAGAATTTATTTGCACTAGAATCTTCCAATATGTTAGAATATCAATATAAAATCATTGAAGTAGCAGCTTTCAAGCCTCCCTAAATTCAATAATACCTTCATCATAAATCCTTGAAAATGAAAGAACCAAACTACTTTGACTAAAGCACAGGAAGAGAACTGAGTTGAATCCTCTCTCTCTCCACTTTGGGTTTATGGAATCAGTCTAAATCTCTTTCCTCTTCTGAGAGACGAGAAAAATAACACCCATCTCCTGGATTAGACATAATTCATGGAAAACACAGGCACACATAGTAAGTGATCAAAAAACAGCTTTGATTAGGTAAAGGAAATGACCACACCCAAAGCTTCTGTTTTCTGTGAAACCTTGACCAATGCTTGATCCTACTCAGTTCTAATTACTTGCTCTTTCTTCTGGCTCTTAAAGGAAGGTGTTGAACTTCTATTTGTCACTCAATTTGTCCTTCCTTGTATTACTAAAAGTTGATGACACATCTGTACATCCACCCATCCACTCAATACAATTGTGCTGAATAGTTTTCAATGCCATGAGGGAACTGGGAGTTCACAGATGAAAAAACATGGTTCCCATTTTCAGTAAACTTGGGCTTTGAGGGTAACCCAGGGCTTGTGTAACCAGTCGGCAGGTGCACTAAAATAATCATAAGAGTTTTATAATTTAATTGTATCATAGGAGTATTTTTCATGGGAAAATTCCGTACTTTGTTGGATTTCTAGACACTTATTTTACGGTTTAACCTTATTTTTATAGAATAAGAGAGTCAAAATATTTTCAGTTCATCAGATTTTCAGTTCTTTAGCTTCTAAATGCCTTAATCCGGTTTGGTTTGGCATCAGACACATTAAGGAATAATTCAAAAAACTGTGCTAAGCGGGAAAAAAAGCCCCAACGTATTCTGGGTGCCCATGTAGAAGAGCTTCACGCCCCCATGGGTGCTCCCCGAAGACAGGAACGAAGACTTATTCTTACTTCGTCGTGGACCATTAAGCAGGAGAGGGCTTAAATGCCAGTTCCCCCAGACTATGAAAGGGAATAGGGATGGGGACATTAATCAGGACAGAGTTTAAATGTCAGCTCTTGCAGTCCAATTCCCGTCTAGCAGTCGCGGAGGAACTCAAGGATATTTTCTGTTTTCTATGAGGAAACAGAGTCCTCACAGAATGCGATAGAAATGACTTGCCCAAGAACACACAAACGGACAGTGACAAATATGTTCGTAGCCAACACCTATTCCATCCATAATCACCTTATAAACTTTGGCTGGGAGCTTTACATGCTTTTTCTCATTTAATTCTCCAGACAATTGCGTGAAGTAGGTACTTTCGTCTTCCCCATTTTACAGACATGGAGACTTTCACAAGGACATCTGGCATTAAGTAGCCTGTCCAGGTTTGCTCTCCACAGACGGTAGTTGACGTTGGAGTAATTCACCGACTCCTGGGGCAGGTGGCGCAGTCCGGAGCGAGCGAAAGGAGCCGGGAAGAGAGCGGAGGGGCGGGCCGGGGGCGGGGCCTTCGACTGGCGGTTCAGGGCTAGACTCCTGGGCTCCAGCCGGGTGAGGGCTGGGATTGGCTCTCCGAGGCTGATTGACAGCGCCAGGCAGGAGCCTGGACCGCGGTGGCGGAGGCGGGGGCGCGAGCAGGAAGTGGGAGTAGAGGCGGCCTGGGGCGCGCTGGCCGGCGGGCTACGGCCGCCACTTTGCCGGGGAGTCACCGCGCTGCGGGTGCCTGAAGAGATGGAGGGGCCGGGGCTGGGCTCTCAGGTGAGTGTGGCCCTACTTGGCGGTCCGGCTGCGGCTGAGAGAGGGAGGCGTGGATGTGAGGCAGCTTGGTGAGGGGCCTCCCGGGGGTGGCCGGGCCTGGGCTGGGGAGGCGGGAGCTTGGAAACGCCGAGAATGAGAATGATGCTGGGACTTCTCTCAGAGATGACAGGGGAAAGGTGGGGGCCCTAGCCGGCCCTCCCCACCTCCATCCCCGGGCCGTGGCGCCCCCTGGGACCGGTTCCCCTTGCCTGGCAGACCGCTGTGAGGCCTGGGACGGGGGTGGGGGTGGGGGGGTGTCGTCCCGGGAGAGGTGTCAGGTGACAACTCCTGAATTGGATCTACCTGTCTTGACCTTGGCCCGGAGTCTGAAGGTAGTTTCTGTTCTTCAGCCCTGGCGCCCCCGCACCCGCCTTCGCCCCACCCACTTCTGTTTAGCTCTGTTCCGGAGTGCTTGCTTACTCCTTGAAAGCAGTAAGACTGTTTAGGCTGGAGGAAGGGAGATATGTGATGGCTATCTGCAAAATTCCAGACGACTCCCTTCTTTGCATGAGGTTCATATTACCAAAAGTCATATGTAGTTCCAGAAAACGGAAGGGCCAGTAGAGGAAGTTACAGGAGGTAGTTAGCTCCAGGAGAACTACAATTTCGACTTGCTTGCTTTGAGCCTTCCCCACCCATTAGATTACTGACTGGCATATCGTAGATGCTCACTTAATGTTTGTTGAATAAACGGTGGATTCCCAGATTCTGCCAGACAGTACTTATATGACAGATATTTTATATGCATTTTTCATTCCAGAATGGAAATATCCTTAGGAATTTATCCCATTTACAGATGGAAAAAACAAAGCTGCCCCAATGAGAGTTAGGTGGTAGATTTTTCAAGCAGTTTGAAATTATTGGATTAGTTGGTTGGTCAAAAAACCTCGTCCAATCCTGAGAGTGTTCTTCATGCTCTCCTTTCTTTTAACAGTCTGGTGTATGTTTAAGTGAAGAACATGTGTAGAAAAAAATGTTAAGGTTCTTGCATTTTGAAAGAAGAAAAAATGCTTTTCAATCCACCTAGATTTTCCAAAAGCATGTAGAATCTGCACATGGAAACTGTCTCATTCTTTTTCTCATACAGCCTCAAAGAAAAGTTGGTAAGGAGTAACTATTAGGTCTTAAATACTGCCACTTATTTATAAAAGTCTTCAAGTGCTTAAAGTTCACTCCCTTCTCCTGAAGGGACGATAACCCTGCCTCATTTCTGGGATATGGAGGGAAAGAATGATTTGGAGGTGGGCATTAGTGAGGAAAGATAGGGACATTGGTTGGTTGTTAATAATAATTGCTATTGTCAGTTTTTTCAATTATAATGTAAAGACCTTACCCATAAATGGTGCTTTACAGTTTGCAAACTACTTCCCCATTTTTAAACCTCACTACCATTCTGTGAGGTGGGAAGGGATGATTATCCTAATTTTAGAGTTAAGAACTGAGGCTCAAAAAATTGAAGTCACTTGCTACAAGTCAAAAAGCAGCTAAGTGAGAGTTAAGACTTTGTTCATTCATTCATTCTATAAATGTGTTTTGAATTTCTGCTAAGAGTTAAGCACCATTCTAGGTGAACAAGACAAATAAAATCATTCCTACTGTGATTGAATTTGGTTCTCTTGAATTCAAGTTCATTGCTGCTGGGCTTTTGCCAAAATTTGTGTATACAGTCTGGTCACCAGTTTCCTTTTTGACCTCCTCTTTTCGTATTTTCTTGCTCAATTAATGAACCCCAGCCACACTGCCTTAAGGCCTTTGTACTTACTATTTGCTCTGCCCTGATATGCTCTTTCCTTGTGTATCCACAAGGATTATTGCCCCACTTCTTTCAGGTCTTGATACAAATGTCACCTCAATGTGACTTTTAATCATCATGTTTAAAATCCCAAGCCCTTCCCATCTTCACAACTACAAGCAGCACTCCCTGGCCTCCTTCATTGCTTTATATTTCTCCTTGGCATATAATATTTGGCATATTAATTGGTCCTTTCCAGTGGTCTATTTGCCCTCCACTAGATATAAATGCTACAAGGGCAGTGATTTATATGCTCCCTGCATCTAGAACAGGATCTAGTACCAGTATTTAATGAATGATCTTGCGCACTTGGAAACTTAATTCTGGTACTTTTGTTAAGAAATGTCATGAGAAATTTTAATGAATATCTGTCAGATATCAATATCTTGCCCCCTCTGTTTTATTTGATAACCAGGCAGGCTAGTGACCCTCATCCGAGTTTTGAGTGTGGTTTACACATGAGAAAGTATCCTTTTTTCTCTCTTGCTGTCCCATTCTCACTCTCGCTCTCGCTCTTAGCCTAGATCTTGGTTTTCTCTTAATGTCAACAATTAACTCCAGCAGTACTTATTTACTCTTTAAAAACATAATTTGATTATGATATTTTTGTGCAGAAGATATTACATGATACCTTATAGCTTAAAGATGTAGTTACCCATTGTATAATCAACCACTTCAGAACAGTGGTGTAAAATAGCCATTGTCATGGTCATGAACTCTGTGCTTCAGGGATTCAGACAAGCTGGTACAGGGTTGGTGTGTTTCTGTTCCACTGTGTCAAAAGCCTCACCTGGAAACACTCTTAAACTGGAGGTGGGGCTGGTATCTTCTAGGGGTGTCTACACTCACAGGTCTGGCAATTGATGCTGACTTTTAGCAGGGACAGCTACATGTGGCCTGAGCCTCAGCACAGCATGGTAGCTGGTTCTAAAAAAAAGCATCTCAAGAGACAGGAAGAGGAAGCTGCCAGTTTCCAAGACTTGCTAACTGGCATAGCATCACTTCTGCAATATTTCATTACTGAAGCAGTCACAGAGCTTAGACTCAAGAGAAAGGAACGCAGACCCCTACCTCTTGAAGGAGAGTATGAAGGAATTTGGGGATTGTGTTGTAAAAATCACCATGAAAGCTGCACATGGTGGTGCACTCCTGTGATTCCCAACAACTAGGGAGGCTGAGGCAGGAGGATCGCAAGTTCAAAGCCAGCCTCAGCAAAGTGAGGCACTAAGCAACCCAGTGAGACTCTGTCTCTAAATAAAATACAAAACAGGACTGGGGATGTGGCTCAGTGGTTAAATGCCACTGGGTTCAGTTCCTGATACCATATTTAAAAAAAAAAAAATCACCATGGATATAGCCAAATGTCTCTTACATAATTTTCATATTATCTTGTTTTATTCCCATCCCGTCCTGTAGAAGAGGCCTCTTTTTCGCTTGCTCTCACTCTCTTACTTTTTGTCTATATATTTTAATTAAAGCAACCAGAGAAATAAAACAAAACAAAATACTTGTGTTATTTTGTATCTTGAGGCATTTATGAACTGAAATCCTCAGTGGACCAAAGGAGGTAAAAGGAAACAGAGTCATAGAATACTTGGAACTAGATGGCTTTTCAGTGTATTAGGTAGTTCAGAGGTTCTTAAATATGTTTAGGAGAAGTTTTAGGGTGTCAGTGCATATCTTGAAGTTATAACCAGCCACCATGCTGTACTGAGGCTCAGGCCATGTGTAGCTATCCCTAAATTATATTAGTTTGTGTAGTTCTGAGTATTTCTCTGATTAGAGAGACCTTAGTTATAATAACCTTTTCAAAAGGACTATGACATTAGGAAGATTTAGGAATCATTGACCTACTCCTATCCTTGTAACTTTTCTGTAAAGTTGAGACTCCAAAATATTAGCTTATTTCTCAAAGATCCACAGCAGAATAGTAGCAGAATCTAGATATCAGGACTTCTGAATCAGTACTTTTTTTCATCACTATTCAGGTGATCCAGTCATGATAGTGATCTTGTTTGATTGGTTGCTGTCACCTGGAGTCCAGCCATTCTTCAATCCAAGGGCTGAAAGTAGTCTGATTTGACTGTGTTCTGAGGCTAGGGAAGAGAATATGGGCTCCTTGAAAACCAGGGTTCTCGTCATTTGTGATCATTGCCTGTGCCTAGAATAGTGCCTAACAAATAGTAGGCATTCAGCAATTATCCAGTGAATGAAGGAAGTGTGGCAGAAATTATGTCTTACTCATCTTGTGCAATTGGCCCTAGGTGTTTTTATATTTCCCTGAATGAAGATTAATGAAAACTCTTGTGAACCTTCTTGCCATCATGAGCATTTGCTTAGACTCTTGTGTTACCTTAACATTGTAGGCATCCACGTAGCAGTTAAGCTTCCGTATCCATAAGGGCAGTTTGCATGTAGCAAATTCTTCATCAGTGCACAAGTCAATAGTGACAATTATAACAGCTTCTCTTATACTTTATAGGTATATTGATTTGCCCCTTCCATTTTTCAAATGTAGAAACTGGAACCAAAAATACCATAGAGTGTCGCGACCCCTCGCCAGCAAGGGAAAACACGACACAGGATTCTTCTTTCAGCAGTTTATTCAGGCCTTGATTCATGTATCATCTTCTAGTGACCCCCCCGCCGAGCGCCCAAGCACAGCCTAATAAAGCCTCCCGCATACCAATCCCAAGCTGCCACGTGGATCTCTCTCATAGGGTGGTAAGGGATTGCGTGCCAACTCTCCAAAAAAGGAGTTGTTTATCACAGGCCACAGTGGAAGCCGGCGCCATCTTCTAATGGCGGCCACGGTCTATAAGAATGGCTCACCACAGTTCCCCCTTCTATTTTATAAAACAATGCAGGCGAAAGTAGAGGTCCTATCCCACTGTGCAGAAGTGGCTGCAGTGTATGGTTCAGTCCTAAGGAGGTCCCTTCCCTAGACCTGGTCCCATATCAGCCGACGCCTTTTTTCGTAGGGCGGGGCGTGGACGTCAAACCCGCATGCAATAGGACATGCTTTCCTTGAGGTCCGTTGAGGGATCACTCAAGTGCAGTGCCTTGCCTCGCATCCTGCATCGTGACGACGGTGAGAAGTAGGATAACACAAGTAGCCTGGTAGTAATGACAAAATTTAAGTTGGCAACACCATCCCTAAACCCCAGAG